GGGAAAGAGGCACCTGTCCGGGTTATTAGAAGGATTGCAGCTCGGCCCTCTGCTGGGATTGGATCATAATTACAGTAATTTTCTAACCGTGCTCTGCACGATGAGTGTTTAATCAGGGCTGGCCTGGCTCAGTCTCCCAGCCCTCATAAGTCACTGGGAGGACTCTTAAAGAGACAAAACCCACCCCTTTTCAGCAGAATGAACAGATGTCCTATAATTGGCAGGACATAGCTGAGCCTCCTTGCTTGTAGCAGGCTGGATAACCTATGTCTGCTGCAGTGTGTCTCTTGGCACTACCTGCCTTCATACCGCCTCCCCACCATGAAGGAAGGATTTTGGGGGTCTGCTACTCCGGGGATTCTGCAGCAGCAGGGTGTGGGAACTGGGCTGGACTACCATATGTGAACCTAGTAGGGTCTGTGGTTGGGGCTGGGGGCTACTCTGCAATGCCTGTTTCCTTTCCAGTTAAACTTTTCTCCCTGTGAGCTGAACAGGCATCTGTCTGAGTCTTACAGGATAATAGTTTTCAGACAGTAGTGGCTACCAGAGGGGCTAACTCTGAAGCCTGTGGTACTGTGGTAGTAATGCATTTTGGTAGTACTTTCACTGCTAATCAAAGTATAGCACAAGCAGGATGCTTATGCCGTTGCAATCCCCTGGGAGCAACACTTAGGTCTATGGGTCAGTCCTCAGCACATACTGGTACTCCAGCCTGAAGTCATGTTTGCTCTGGTACTTACCTTGCCTAAATCTGACTATCATGGGGAAGGCCTTATTCTGACTACCATATAGCCTGATCCTTTAATTCTCACTGGGACAGATTAGGCCCCAGGCTAATAAAAATCCTGAATCAAACAGGCCACAGGAAAATGAAAGCAGCTATACCTGGACGGCAGTGGAACAGTGGCAGCAAGTGTGAGATATCCGTGTTCTATCACCTTAGATCCCTTCTTTTCTGAGAGAGAAGAATAAAGCCCCTGAACCCCAGTGGTAAAGCCCATGGCAGTGACCAGGGGAGGCTCAGTAAGAGGGCAAAGCTGGACAGACCCACAGCCTGTGCTGCTGTCCCAAATGACAGCAAGGGCCAACCTCCTCTCCTGCCCCATCACCACCACCCAAGGAAGCTCTCCCACCACAGCAGAACAGCAGTGTGCTATGGCACACAGCAGTTCCAGTTCCACCCAGTAGAGGGCAATGGTGGTGCACACACTGCCCACTTGTCAGCTGCACCCCTGCCCTCTCCAGACCTGCCCCAGGTGAAGGGCAGGCTGTGGGCAAGGAGAGCTGGCATCATGTTTTGGGAGCTGTGCTGCCTACACAGGAAGACCCTCATCTCCTATCTCACCTTCTCAGCTGGGAGACCTCCTGCAATCAGCTGTGCAGACCCTAGGGAAGGGATGAAAGTTCCTCTTACCCCCACCCTGAAGTGACTGTCAATCAGCTGGCTGGGATGGGAGGTAGCCACATCTCTCTCCCATCTAGTGCATTCCCCACTATCAGTCCTGGAGCTTGTATTTCCTCTGCCGATTTCCCTTTGAAGATCAGGAAGTGGCTCAATTTAGGCAGCAGCAGCCACCTCCCAGCTGGCAGGTTCAACCTCAGCTCAAGAGGGCCAGAACAGTTTATAGCACAGTGAAGTGAGCTAGCTCCAGCCTCTAATTCTTCTCATCAATCAGTGCTGCTGGGCCCCTCCTTGCCTAAGTGGCTTGTGGTACTGTTAGGTTTGACCTAGAAACCACTACACATAGCCCAAGCAAAAGTCTCTGTTCTGTAACTAATGCTCAATTGCAATGATAAGGAGAAGACAGTCTTAGATAAAGGAGGCTTGAAAACAAAAACAGAATTAGTGGAGTAGGGCAAAGAGCTGATTTAAATATTAAGATTCACACCCCTAGGTGGGGAGAAAGTATGCTAATGAAACATACATGTATGGAAATGAGATACATAGCTAAAACACGGGCATAGAGACATGCTCAGTAAAGAACTCCTTGCGTCACTCCCTTATAACCAATTAGCAAACAAGAATGCTTATGAAGGTCCAATACTCCTGTATAAAAGATGCTCATAATTAAGACTGTGTGCTTGTTACGTGAAATTATTCCGCTTCCACCTTGTATTGCTAGCAATAAATCTTTATACTTTCACCCCTGGTATCTTTATTGGCTTTTGCATACTGGGCATGATCCCAGACTTGAGCTGGGGCTCAACAGTACATGTGCTGCAATTTGTTTGCAGACTTGAGAGACAGCCTTCCTTTTTGGGGGGGGGGGGGGGGGGGGGGGGGAGGGGGGTGGTGTGTTGGTGGGGGGGGGGGGGGGGGGGTGAAGAGGATGAGCTGTCTGAAGGGCCTGGACTGCTTCCAAGCAGAGAGGCTGAGATTTTGCCAGGCATCAGAGAGGATGGAATGATGCCAGCATTCAAGATGAGGGTGGGGGGAGCTGTGGAGTAATCTAGAGAGGCCTTCAGCCATTTGGAAAGAGAGAGGTTACCTTGAGCTGCTCTGTGCTGGTTACATACCTGACTTCAGCTTGGCGGGAGGTAGAAAGCAAGGAATGGGGCTCAGGATTCATGCCTGGCACCTGATTGAAGGAAGCAGTTATCTCCCAGCCCAGCACCTGGCCATGGCCGCGTCTCATCTGGCTGTTTGCACATAAATCCACAGATGCTACAGCAGCCCTTCACTTAATGCATCTGCGGTGGGCACTGGCAGTCTGCTTCCATCCTACCCCCCAGTCACCACCTCAGCTTCCCCGTTGCTGGCAGTGGCAGCGGTAAAAATAACTTTCCCTATTGAAGAGGCATGCTCTTGCCAAGCAAAACTCTGAATGGAACATAAGGGTGGAAGACTTCGGGTCACCATGATCCTCCCTGAGCAGAGCAGCCAGCATTAGGGAGTAGAGGGAAGAGAGAGCTGTAAAGCAGGCCAGAAAACTCTTCAGGCCTGCCACCTGCATAGGACAGTCAAAGGGGCCAAGTCCCCACAGAAGTAGGTGAAAAGTGCCACCCTGCCAACTAACCAAAAGCTGTCCAAGCCACGTACCTGGTGAAAGGAGACTGCAGCCTGCTCCTACAGGCAGTTACACCCATGGTCCCATGCCACCCTTCAGCCAGCATAGCATCACGGGAGCTCTAGCAGAATCTGGACACCACTCAGGAAAGGAATTTCTTGTACAAAACATCTATGCTGATGGACCTGCTTTTATCTGTCCGGAGCCTGGAGTTCTTGCAGGTCTGGCCAACAAGTCCGCTCACCCTGCCCGAGAGCCTCTCTCCTCATAATTTGTTGAGGCCCGTAAAATATTAAGAGCATCCCCATCCTGCTTACCTGTCACGACACAGGCAAGTACAATTTTTTTGCATCTGAACTGACATATTTTCACAACAGTTTTGCCGAACTGATCAACACCTTTCAGCATAATTATGCCTGCCCTTGAAATGCAGCCAGCTCTGGAGTGGAGCCTGTTTAATCAGCAACCTGGAAGAACGTGCCCCACAGCTTTCATTTTTTGTAAACAGTTCCTTCGTGCACTCCCCCTCAGCCAGCAGTTGCCACCTAGAAGGGTTTGTGCTGGGATCCGGGGGTAGGTGGGCGGGAAATGAGTGTCACATCTCACTCACAGAGCAGGTGATATTAGTTCCAACCACATGCCCTCCCAAATGCATTGTGAGGAGGGGAGAATGCCATCGCCGAGGGAAGGCTGACACAGTACAGCATTCAAGCTAGATGCACCTCACTGTGCCTGCAGAGTGCCCCCCCCCCAGCAAGCTTTGTACTCAAGGTCATTGCAGAGAGGAGCAAGGGCTGCTCTTTATAAGGCTGTGTTGAAGGGAAAACCCCCAGGGCAGGCTGCTTTCTGGCAAAGACTGCTAAAAGGGCCCACTGCCAAGGCATGGGGGGGGTGCCAGGTAAATCCGCAAGCTGCAATCACGACAGTCTCCACTGGGCACAGACTCTGCTCTCTGGAGCCTGTAACATTAAAGGGCGCTTGTCTACTCTGAAGTTAGTGAGACCCCAGCAGCCCCCAGCCGTGGAGGTGGAGCCTCAGCCCAGGGGGGCAAAAACAGCCCTGACACACAGGTCTCTTGTTTTGGCTGAATAGTCAACACCACCAGCTACTGTCTGGAAGTTTCTAGATCAGAGCTGCAGGCACAGCTGGCCTCACAGCTGCACCATTTGGAGCTTTGCTCTCATGAATATTCATACAGCAGCCCAGCCAATCAGCAGAGCAGATACTATTAGTGAGCATCTGTCAGGTTTTTTAAATGAACTTCTTTTGACATTTTCAATTTTCCTCTGTAGGTTTCAAATCCTCTGTTTCCTCCCCCCCTTACCCCCCCATCTCTGCATTTGTGTCAGGCTGACAGTGCATACACATTGAGGGGTAAAGGGATGAAAAAAAAATCTCACTGGGCAAGCACCCGAAGAAAAGGGACCACAGCTTTCAGCACCACCAACAGTGCCCTCACTACCAGGCCCTGTTGTCACCCAGTACTTGGGGTCCCTGGGACAGTGCCAGCTGATGGGCATGAGCCCCCTGTTAAACAAGACCCAGAGCTATGGAGGAAGCACATGACAGTCGATTCATCCAGCCAGGTCAAACTTTCAGTGCAGGGGAATGACAGAAGCACACAATGCACGTGAGCAGTCTTCTTCCAGTCCAGTTGTCTCTTCCCACAGTCCCGCTGGAACATACACCGTACACCCCCCAGGTGGACGCTAGGCAAGAAGGTTGACTGAGAGCTGCAGTTAGGCCTGGCAACCCCTAGGAGGCACTGTGGCACCTGCCAAGCAAGCTGGGTCTCAGCCATTAGTGCTCAGTGGAAGAGGAGCAAGGGCCCTGGCGACCACTGCATGTGGAGGAGCCAACAGGCTCTCTGGACCCTGTAACATTAAAAAGCATTTGTCTACCCTGGCATTAGTGAGGTCCCAGCAGCCCCTAGCCCTAGAAGTGGAGTCCTCTCAACTTCCTTCCCCCTCAAAGCCACCTGGAGACCCTCACACCCCCTTTCTTTGAGGGGTGCAAATAAGGCTCTTTCCCTTCCTTCTCTCCTCCCAAGGAAAACCTGGTGGCACTCCAATGCCACACCTCAACACTGGATCCACTTTGCAGCTGGTGATGGCAACCGGGCTTGTGTGCAGGAGGTGGCATTCCCAGATTCTTTCCCAGCTGTGGGACTGTCACCATGCACACCGGAACAAGGACAATATCACAGCACCTTTGTAAATCCCAGTGAGCCATGCCTGAAAGTACTTTGAGGAGTAGCCCTTCTGTATCCCCTCTTACTCACTTTGGAAAGGAAAGCAGGTCCTCTGTTGATGTGCAGCATGGCACAGGGCAGGGGCTGGGCCTGTTGGCATCATACCTGGCACTAAACCGTTACTTAAAATGCACCATTATTTTTTTTCCCCAGTGCAGCTGACATGTAGGTAATCTTGTCTTCGCTCAGCAGAACTCCCTGCCCATCCCCACTTCTCCAAGACGTGTGTGGCCAGCACCAGCAGTCTCCTCTACTTCACTTTTATTTCAGGCCAGAGCATCACAGATCTGCCTTTTATGCCCCAAGAGACGCCAATGGTAAATCACATAGATGCAGGATACAAGACTCCCAGAGTGCACAGAACAATATTGAGTAAGTGGTGACTAAGTGCTGAATGCAAGAGAGGCCTTGGAGATACCTGCAGCCCAAACCTTAGACTGCTCCTTCTCTACACAGGGCCACCTCCCTCCCCCTTGCCAGGCCAACAGCAGAAATCCTTTTCCCCATGCCACCTAAGTTGTATGTTACACAGGGGCACAAGGAAAGCAGGCTGTTCTCAAGCAGGAAGAGAAGTTGGAGGGGTGCTGTGTCCAAGAGGAGAATAACAACGACCCTCCATCATCTTCCCTATAGTACGGCTCAAGCCTGTCCCCTGTTCCAGAGGACTTGTTCTGGCTTCCTAGAGTGCAGAAAGCAGCTCATCTGCTCAGCCTGGCTGCAGGCAGCCTCCGTGCCAGGAGGGCCATAGGTGAAGAGTTCATTCCAGTCCCCCAGCACAGCACAGCTGAGCCAGAGCAACCTCACAAGAGCCCTTATAACTCATTGATTGTATAAGAAAGACTAGGCCTCCTGTGCCTATGCAGCCATTTACTGCTCAGAAGGGAATGTTGTTACAGGGGCTAAGTTCTAACTCTAGGTACAGGAAGTCCATTGGAACCCACTTCCTATGGGTCCATGAGTGACAACAGCCAGCCGTGTGCTCCCTGGGGACCAAGAACTACAAGATCAAGAGCCCTGGCTTTGATTTCCCACTCACCCACCCCTCACCCTTTAAGTGCATGGCTAAGCCCTTGGGAGTAACACACCTAGGTTCCGCTAAGCACCAGTCCCCTTTTGGTGCACATCATTGTGTGATCACACAGCACCCGAGTGATAACAAC